GCCACGGTTTCAATGGTCGGAATGGCGGCGTGCACCAGCTCGTCCGTGTGTCGGCGCAGCACCTATCCACCCGTCCATCCACGTAACATCGCAGAGCTGTGAGCAGCAGCAGCAGCCACCGCATCGCTGCGTGCCGTGGACGGGGCTCATGTACCGTAAGCTGCGCGTCGGTGAAGGCAGCAAACGCTCGCGAGGACATGGCGAGCACTCTCCTTCCGCCGGTGCCCCGCACCTCGAGCACGTTGCCGCAGAATTCGTCCACCTGCGCCCTCGTTATCTCCACCACCTCGTGCGAAACGCTCAACTGCACCACCACCACCACCGATCGTCACCACATGCGGCAAAGCAGGTGTGATACCGCGGTGTCTCAGGGAGAGGGGCACGGTACCGTGCGTCGCAGGTTCTCGCGCTCTTCGAGATCGGCCACGGATTCCAGGCACACCACGGCGACGGAGGAGCCCACGGCCATCATGACGTTGGTGTGGTAGATCGGCTGGCCCTGGGCATCGGAGGCGTGGAAGAAGCACATCTCGTACCTGTGCTCACGCCAAAGAGGAGGGAAAGAAGAAGAAGAAGGCCATTCCAGGTGAGCCAGCGGGAGAAACCCGGTCGCAAGCCAAGCCCACACTTACCCCAGGCGCTTGGCCCACTGCGAGGCCACCCGCTTGGAGCAGCGCTGGGAGAGCGCAGCGTAGGCCACCTTCCTGGCCCGGTCCAGGATCAGCACCCCTGCGCGAAAGCGAGGCACCCCAAGCGATGTTATTCGAGAGTCAGTCGGCACAGACCACTCTGATGGTTGGGTCTATAGGCCTCGTGGTACCTGTGCTTTCGAGAAAGCGCGGAGGATCGGCGTTTTCCCAGTGCTCGAAGCTGACCTCCTGCTCGTAGACGGCCTGCAGCTCTTCCACGATGGTCTGCCTCCGCTCGGCCCTGGCGTGTGTGGGTCAGTTTTGAGCGGCATAGAAGGGGTGCGAAAAAGCGGCCGCGCCCTCGCGCACCTGCGGGACGGGGTCTTCATGGGGTAGAACACGAGCGTGGAGCGGCCCGTCTCTGCCGCGGGGTGCGTGGAGAACCAGTTGTTGGGGAACACCGCATCCGGTCTGGCCATAGTCCCACCACCAGCCACCATGCATGAGACATGAGCCCAGGCGCACCGCGGCGCGCAGCCTGCGGTACCGGATAGAAAGGGAGCCGCGTACGTGTTGTGGTGCCGCTCGGCGGCGTGGAGGAGAATGTTCACTCCCGCTGCGGTCAGAGCCCGATGCAGGCCCGAGAACTCGGTCAACGCCTGCCCAACCACCATGCAATCAGCAAC